AATAATCATACAATATATGGAGTAATGCTATGGCATAAATTAATCCAAATAAAATACAAAATCAATTAAAACCCATTATAAACCAAAATGGACATCACGGTTGACGAACAATGAGAAGGAACAACAAAATAGTATTGATGTGAGCACAGAAAACTATAGCTACCTTATCGTTAACACATCATTGACATCAAGATATTCGGGAGGAGAAGTGGGAATTTGTCTTGCTCATAAACTCAATGTTAATTTGACTCACTAAATGACTGGTATCGCAGCGACCGAGAACAAAGAAGGGGACCTAAGGTTGAATAGGCAAAATTCATTCTATTCACCCCAAAGAAGCTTGGCAACCCATGTATTGTTGGGTGCAAAAGTGGGTGCATGGCACCACTTGGGAAAAATTGGTTGGGTACATTGACCCACCATTTCCACTAGCCGCTGGACAAAAGGAGGAAGCAGGCGGTTTGCAGCAGTGCGAGTCCCATAAGTCAGCAACATTTTGGAGGAGTTTTGCACGGTTCAAATGAAGCCGTGCTTCGGACTCGCTGGAATGCGCTTGGATTTTTTGCTTGTGACGTGGCCAGCTTTTGGGCTGGCTTAAATTAAAAAAAAAAAAACATTTTTAGGCTAATATTCTACAAGTAACCTAAATAACCTAATATTGTATATAGTAGTACATACTAGCTTTCAAGCCCGTGCGATGCACGGGCAGTATGTAATTTAGCTAATTTGAAATTTGATTTGTTTCGGATCATATGTAATGTGATTTAAAAAAAAATAAACTTAGTCTAATATAGAGCTCGTTTGATAATACTAAAAATAAATCGAATTAACTTATTTTAATGAAATTGATTAAATTTTGGCTGAATGGGTTGAATGGATGAAATCTCCTGAATCATGAAAAAAATATGTAAAATATATTCCATTTGTGAAGCCAAGAAAAGATTATATGAAAAATAGTTAAATTGATCTTCTACATAAGCATCTCAAGTAAATATAATTGTTATGAACCCGATTTTAAAGAATTCATAATCTCACGTCCTCCAAATTACTTTATTAATTGTGCACCTCAAGTTTTTTCCTTCTACTATTCCTCATTCAACTTGATGTGAAATACTGAGTATCTACTTTTAACTTTTAATAATAAGATGTTACATTTTACTCATTATTTCGTCACACCAAAAATGTAAAAAAATGAAGTTTTTTTTTACATTTTACTCATTATATATTTCGTTACATTGAAAAAATAATTTAATTGTTATGAACATCTAACAAATACTTTTCTAGTATTTCTCATTCAACTTGGTATGAAATACACATTTTAAAATTTTAATTGTGAGATCTTATTTTTTCTCATTAATAAGGACATTTTTAATTGAATTAAACTTTTGGATTTGATTTGGTAAGAATTAATATGGTCTGGTAGATGTTTGTTTTGCATTTTATGTGACTTATTATTATTATTATTATTAAAGTTTGATCTGATTTGATTTAATCTGGAATTGAAATCAATCCAACTAAAAAAATTCTATTAAAAATAAAAGTATGAATTTGTAAACATATAATATATGCAATATGCAATCATGATATACTTTTTTCAGTTATTTGCAAAGTAAACATATAATATATGCAATATGCAATCGTGATATCAATCCTGATATGCAATATGCAATTTGTAAACGTATAAGGTAGATTTATACGGATTTCTATTTCCATATTAATATGCCATTAAAATAGAATCTAGCTAATTAAAATAGAAGGTATAAAAATAACTAAATAATTAATATATATAATGACATGGCAGGATTATGTGGCGCTTTGTATGCTCTTAAAAAGTTCCTCTTTTATATATATATATTGATTTTGATTGGAAACTCCAATTTATTTGAAATTAAGCTCATGTGTGCAAATTTTAATACTTACGAAAAAATATTTTTTTACATCGAAATGTTTGAATTTTTAAATCATTATGATTAGTAAAAAAACAATTTGTCATATGATTGATGTCTGATAATAAAAGTAAGAATGTATACCTTTCTTTAAAAAAAACTGTGTTGGGTGAATATATTGACGGTGCTGGATTGCAGAGAAAAATTGATTGACTGAGTGAATACATATAAAAAGGTGGCAAATTTGATTTATTGACTCTAGTGGGTTGCGGTCAGCCTAAGTGCTACGTATATTACTCGGACGGGCTTACAATTATCAGGTAATCGAGGGATCGCTTTTTAAAATCGGAAAAATTGAAAATAATAATCTCAAATTCCCAATAATTATTTTTTTTATGAATAGCTGACATGGAATAGATATCCATTTCGCCACTACTTAGTGGCGGAAATAGCGGCGGAATTGAAACCGCCACAAATTTGCGGCGAACGTTTTTCGCCATTATTTAATGGCGGATTTTAATGACAGATTGCGTCGGACACAGATTTGTGACGGATTTTCGTGACACAATTGTCGCCAACAATTAGTGGCAGACATTTCTGACACAATAATCTGCCACTAACCTAAAGAATAATACAAACTTTTTTTTATTGTAATTTATTCATATACTAGAAGTTTATTTGTACTTTTCACATATGTATATATATGATAAAATAAAATATTATAATACTAAAAGAATATTATACTATCGGTGAAAAAAATATTATCTTAATGTGATTATAATAGTATAACTTTAGTGATTATAATAACCAACTCATAATAATTAGAATCTTATTTTTATTAATTATTTTCATTTTAATATTATTATAAGAAGATAGAACTCATAAAAATTAATAAATTTATTATTCCTTGTATATATCATAATTTTCAACAAACTAATCAATAAATAATGAGAATCTAATTTTCATAACGATCACAATAATGACACCATTTTTTAATGAATCTCGGATTGAACTCATATTTTAGTAGACCAACTTAACACCTATTCAAACTTATGCGTTGATCTTTAGCCACTAACGTTTTCTGTTAAACTAGCACATCCAGTTAAGGATAATTGTGATCAAATAATGAATTGGTTCTGTTGAGGTTTATTCTTTCAACCCTCGGGTCCAACACGTAAGCCCAAGGATTTCAAGTGGAGTGTGTGTGAGTATCTAGCCCAACTAACAAGTAATATGGATCAAAGGAGAACAATAAGCAGCAAGTAAGTGATTAGGTATTATTATCTCTTAATAACTCCCTAATACAATACTTCTCACTAAGGCTCGTCGGCCGATCGTCTCACAAGGCAGTAGAAGTGCTGCGAGTAAGAATGCTATAGCTAGAGTGCTAAGAATAGATAGTTGCCAACCCTTTACAATGAAATAAATGCTTCTATTTATACCCACCAATGGGCAGGTGGCTACACTGACGTGGAAGCCTGTGGTTCGCTGGTGTCTCAACCACCAAATCTTCAGCATTAAATGCACTTCCCGCCAGAATCTAGGTTTCACGCCTAATTAGTGGGGACGTTCGTCCGCCCGGGGAGCGAGCTGGATTGCTCCAGGTGGCCTCCAAGGGGTATTGGCCGTTCGTCCCCTGGCCTTTGTGGATTCTCGCCATGTGGACTGGACTGCCTCCGATGGCTAGGAGCTTGTTCTGACGACGTTCGTCGTCGTTCTGGTGACCCGTGGTCCTGCTCCTTGTCCCTGCATGGACGTTCGTCGAGATGGGCCGTTGAGCCTAAACCCCAACTGCAGACGTACATCCCTCCTGGAGGAACATGGGCTTGCCAGGCTAGTTGTGTGCTATCTGGACGTAAGTCCGGAAGAAGGGGTAAATGGGCCAAACCTCAACTTGGGCCATTAACCCAACACCAGGTAAGGTATATGGTAGATCATAGTTTTTGGTGGAGTACACAGGGGTCGGGCGGTGTCTTCAAAACTCGTAGATTTGGGTGGAGTAAACAATGACTGGTCGGTGTCCTCAAAACTCGGATATTAGGGGTGGAGTACTCAGGGACTGGACGGTGTCCTGAAATCTCATATATCATGGGTGGTACCCAAGGTCGGGTATAGTATGAATTATGTTTATGGACGTCTTGTACAATCGAGTGAGTGTGACCTGCAGGTGACGTCACTTGATTGTACGCCGGTTGTACGCACGTCTAGATGCAGTATGGGGCGTGACATTACATAACATTAAAGTTTAGAAATAATGTCGAGTTGATTTTAATAGCAAATAGAGATTCCATTATAAAATTTATCAGTTTTCATAATAACATTCAATTTATTGCACGATTTTATATTTCAATTTGCAATTATTCTCAGATTTAATTTTAATAATCTTTTTGTTTAATTTTATGTCCAATAAAACCTTGTTAATTGAACGGGAAACTTTACCCAGGACGGAGGGATTTTTCTTGCATGAGGTGAATGCTTCTATGTCTATTCTCACAGCTTACAATCGGATCTGTCACAACTGTCTGAAAGTTACTCTGTATCTTTTTTCAAGTTTAATATATATATATATATATATATATATATATATATATATATATATATATATATATATATATATAAGTAGAAAGCTACATTGGAATTTACAATCTTAATTTATGAAAAAAGTTCAAGGACATTTTTACTCAAATTGACCTAATCTGTTCTGATTTAATCTGATCTAATCCAAGAAAAAATCAATCTTAATAAAAACATTGTGAGCTATCAAATATGAGAGTACTAACTAATAGAGAATATTATCAGAAATAGGATTAAAAAGGTTTGGAAATTCCAAAATAGGACTGTCATGTTTTTATTCCCAAAATAGGACTAATTACTCTCATGTTTTGGCAGTACCAGGCGTAAAATATGGCAATATTTTCCAATCTTGGCAGTAATTACTCATAGTTTGAGAATAAAAACATGATAGTCCTATTTTAGAATTTTCAAATTGTTTTAGTCCTATTTCGGAAACTTTTCTCAACTAATATGATGATATCCCTAAATATTTTCGCCAAAATTTCATTTCCCTCCCGTTTTAAACATACTCCCCGCCCATCAGGCTAAAAATCCCTCCACTTTTTAACCAAAATTTTAGCCCAAATTCCCTCCGTCCGCCAAAAATCCTCAAAACCGGCCTACTCACAAAACCTAGTTGAAATCTCTTCAACGGTGACACCCCTCTTAATCTCAGCGGCGGCCTCACCTCATCTCTGCAGCGGGCCAGCGGCCTCACCTCATCTCTGCAGCGGGCCAGCGGCCTCACCTCATCTCTGCGGCTCCATGCCCCTAGTAAGACACTTAGCGGGCTGTGGTGGGATGGACTTACCACTAAGGTCTCACCGCATCTTTGCACCTGCACATGGTCTTGCCGGTATCTCTTTTACCAAATCACTTTCTTTATACCTTATCTATCTAGAAATCGAATTAATGTTGTTTAATGAATACTATACATATGTAGAAGGAATTGAACTTAACTACGGTTATCCATGAGGTATATTCCACCAATCTTGGGAAAGGTATAATTTTGTATATTTTGAGCTAGCTAGGGCTATCCATGAAGTATACAGAGTACTTCGTATTTGTTTTAAATTTTCATTGTGGCGTAAGTGTTCTTTCATGCACCAGTTCTTAAGCCTCTTGGTTTCAGGTAAATTTCTTTACGATTTTTTGTTTTTTTGTTTTTACCATTTTATCAAGAATGCTTATAATACCACCTGTTCTTGTCGTTTTTGTCAATGCATCAGGAACTCTGGCAATAGGGGCTATTCAACTTTGGCACTCATTATTCTCCTGATTTTTGTGCTCTTTCTTGAATTCCAGATTTCACTTACATGTAAGTTTCTCCCCCTGAATATTTCTTGGTTGAATCACGCTATAGGCTGAATAATATGATATGTTGGGCATGGTAAACATAACAGGCTTCTTGCACAATGGGTTTGTGAATTTTCGAGAATGACATTTCTGTTTTTTTGTGAGACTTTGTTTTTCCTACTCCATACTAGGTATACACACTTATATTCAATACAGAAAGACAAATTGGAATAGCTTAAAATTCCCTTACACACTATTTCTGAACGCGTACCTGCTATTGTTTTTCAGGCTTTCTATCTTGTGCACTTGCTGCTGGAGCTTGTAGCAAAATAAAGGAAAAGAAAAGCCCAATTTACTCTATTTGTGCTATGGTTCATTTGTAAAAAGCTGTCTATTTTTCATGAGTTCTTTTTTAATGAGCTACTCTGTATTTTTTCTGTACACAAGTCATTTGAAGATTCTGAAATACAATATGGTTTCATTTAAAGATGTAGGGGTGCTGGGCAGAAGAGCAAATGGAACTCATTGACCTGAAGATGTATCAGGGAGTTTGGGCTGCTCAACACCGTCTCCACCTCCTACTTCATTTGGAAAGAACCATATGGTCAATATGGTGTCATTTAAAGGAGCAAAGGCTGCCAAGCAGAACAAATCAAACTCTGTGTGACTCCAGGGACATTAGACATGCATTTCAGATTGCTCAACATCGTCTCTGCCCTCTATTGCGTGTGTTAGGATGTTTGTATTCACTAGATAGCGTGTTTGGTGTATTTTGATGTTCTAAATGACGTGTTTGGGTTGTATTTTGATGTTCAAAATGACTTGCATTGGGATGTTATTTTTTATTCTTGTTGACAATGATTACTAAATTCTAGTATGTGTTTATTTATGTGCGCCTATGATGGTATGTATACCAATTTAATGTGTTATTGTGGCTATCTAGTTTTCGTATTATGTGTAAATTATGAAATTGTAGTATATAATTTTATTATTGGGCCATTTAAATTCATTTTAAATAATTTTATTAAATCATTTTGATCAAACATATTTATCAAATTAATTTTTTAGTGATGGATGTTAGTGGCGGAATGTCTGTCACTAATAATAGTGGCTGATTTTTCGCTGCTAAGTTCCGCCTCTGTATTGTGACGGAAGTGAAGATTCGCCAGTAAAGCTTTTAATGTCAAGATTTCAGTGGCGGAAAGTCCGCCACTAATATCCGTCACTACACTAGTTAGTGGCGGATTTAGTGACGGATTTTCCGCCACTAAAAAGCGAGTTTCTTGTAGTGAAAAGATGCTCTATCGTGAACACACTGGGAAGCTACCCTATGCGGATTAGGTTGGAGCTAATTTAATTCACATATATCATAGCCGATTTGGCAGATTCTCAGTCATGAGTACATCAGATTTACAACGATTCCATACGTTTCGAATGTTATCCAACACTGCCATAGAATCCCCAAAATCCATGTAATCGGCATGATCATCAGAAGACACCCATACACAATAGCAGTCGTACCCCCATTCAATAAATTGAGAACAACACATTCTGGAAGGAGTTTTAGTAGTTGTATGATCACCATCTTGCTGTATAAGTGCCAGAACATGTTTTCGGCATTCGCTGCAAGGTGGTTGTTTATTTGAACACTTTGGTAAGCTTTGCACATAGTCAAGTATCCCTGGATCTTCTTCATCATCTATTTCAATCGAGACTCTAATATTGCCTATCATTATTATAAACCATAGTATAAAGTAAATCTTGGATGTTTTCATTTCTGCGGATCTGAAATTTGTTGACTATATTGGATAAAATAATTGTGAGCACAATATATTGTTAGCTTATTCGTACGTAATATCATATCTAATGCACAATAAATGTGTGCAGACGACCTAACTTGGTTTGTAGCGAACGTACAGTTATAAAAATAAATGTATACCATACGTTATATATACTATTAATAGTCCTTTCGGATGTGATTAATAAATATATGTATGCTACTAATATGGAGAGTAAATGTTCTATTTGTCTTAAACACTTATGTAATGTAACCGTGTTCACAAAAATGCAAATTAAATATAGATTAAACACATGTCTAATTTACTACAAAATAACAACGATATATATTAGCATGGGCTTGACCCAAAAATCATGTTTGGCATGCATCATAACATATTTTTGGCACAGCGCAATGCCAAATAGTTGGTGACAAAATAGCATTGACATGGATTTGATGTATCTAGGGGTGACAATTGTGATCGATCCGATGAATACCCGCACTGAATCGATTCGATTAAAATGGTTAATGGGTATGGGGCGGGGAACCCCCTTTTTATTTTTATGGTTAATGGGGCGCTACGGTTTTATACATGCCCGCCCCATAACCCGCCCTGTACCCAGGGACAAAACCACCAGGGGCCTGGGGGTTGGGGACCCTGCAGTGCATTTTTTTAAAATATATATAGGGGAGTGTTCTCTTAAGGTAGCTAGGTCTAAAACTTACAAGTTTTAGGCCTCTTTCATTTGAAGTGCTTTCGTGTCAAATATTTTTATAACATTTTGTGAGCATGTTGTCCGAGTTCGAGTATTTTGATAAAACGTCTCGTGTATTACCTTTTTCATTTACCAGCGCGTTTTTCAAAAAATAATTTTCGGTATTACCTTTTGGAACTCGGCGCTATTTTAAAATAAGCACCGCACGTCTCCTTATTTAAAGGCGCTTAATTTTAAAGCGCCACAAATGATGTGCCGCATATCGATAAATTTCCACTCATGGGATGCCGGATGCCCCCGGCCTTTACCTTCCTGTCTTCTAAGGCTGTCCGCAATGAGAGCTGTCAATACACCAAATTTAATGTTTTGACTCCTTAATATGCTGCAACCCTTGGAAAAAAAAGTATACCAAGGTCTCAACGGGAGTTGCTGGAGCGGAGGGGAGCCATCTATAGGAGGGCTATTGCCTCTGCTACGGAAGTGGCATGTGCGGCAGTGGGCCTGGAGCTGACATGTGCAAAGAGTAAATGAAAGGTGGAGGATTGTGCGTGAGTTTCTGCTACTCCTCTTGCGTGTGGAAACGAAGTGTTGTGTTGGGATTTTATTTTATTGATTATTGATTGTTGGTATTTTAATTTTAAAACATGTGTTCCAATTGATTTAAATTTAATATTAAACAAGTTTATAGTAAATAAAATGAAAAATTAATAATAAAGAAATATAGAAAACAATTAATATTTTCAAATTGAACTCAAGTACACATTTTAATACTTACAAAAAAAAATCACATTTTTTATTTTTTTACATCGGAATGTTTGAGTTTTTAAACAATAATTATTGGTGAAAATAAAATTAACACATACAATATGTGTAGTAAAATAACTAAGGATTTATGCATTTAATTATTAAAAAAAATGTGCTGAGTGGATATATTGACGGTGTTGGGTTGCAGAGAAAAACTGAATTGACTGAGTGAATACCTATAAACTGGAGGAGAATTTAGTTTATTGACGGGCTGGGTTGCGGTTAGCCTAAGGAAATTCATCGTTTGTACAATTATCATCTGGCCCCAATGCAAGAACATGTTTCCTTCATTCACTCCATGGTTGGGTTTATTTGAACACATTGATAAGCTTTGCACATTATAAAACTTCCTTGATCTTCTTCATCAATTATTTCAATCGAAACTCTAAGTCTCTAATATTGCCTATTGTTATTAGTTACTCCCTCCGTCCCTATTATATCTTCCAAATAGGTTTAGCGCGGAGTTTAAGATAGTGGGTATTGTGTGGTGGAGAGTTGTGCAGAGGAGAGAGAAATGTGTAAGAATTGCTCTGAACCACAAATTCTGGCCAAAAAAGGAAAGTGGAAGTTTTAATTGGGACGGACGAAAAAGGAAAGTTGGAAGTTTATTTAGGGACGGAGGGAGTATTACTTATTAGAAACCATGGCATCAGGTTAATCTTGGATGTTTTCAATGCTTATCCTAATATGCATATCATAAACCGTGGTTTATTAGACCTAAGTTGGTTCGTAATATCCAATACATAATAAATGTGTGTGTATAGAAGACATTAAGACCTATCATAACTTATCATAACCAAACGGACAGGTTATAAAGTGACAACAAGTCTCTTGTCTACCGTCTGCCCAAGGACCAGACTTTGAATTAATCACCTCAGGAGGAGCCATATAATTCGCTGATCCCGCTTCGGGCTTACTTGAGCCTATGACTTGCAGACACGACTCCTCATATCCCCTATCTTAGTTTCAAGAGTTTTTTTGCTGGAATAAACTCAGCACAACCAAAATAAAAAAACATCCAAAACGTGGGAAATAACCAAAGCAAAACAAATAGAGTAAATAAGTCTCTAAGCTAATAAAGCCGATGCCAGCATCATAACATCTGGCAGGGATGGAGTCCATCACCCGCCCCAACCCCGTTTTTTGGGGAGTCCAGCGCCATAGCATTCTTTGCAGCTTTTTCCTTGGCCTGTTCCTCCCAAGTGCGTCTTCTCTTTAGCTCTCCTGGTCCCCCTTCCTCTTGTGTCTCACCTGAAATCATAGCATTCCCCATTCCAGCTTGAGTGCTTTCTCCTGTCTCATCCAGGTCCATGTCCTGCACTGACCTCACCATGTGTGTTATGTTCTTGCCACCACCAGAGGAGCTCCCTTCTGAAATCAACCATTTGCCACCCATGGTAGGCTTCGATTTCTGTCCACTCGCTCTTAGCCACGGCCTAAAAGGCCTAGTCAAAGTTTGCCCCTCTTTTCGTACAGAAGAGGACAAAATTTCTCAGCATGTCCAATAACGCCACAGCAAAAACCGAAACTTGGGATCTTCTCGTATTTAAAGTCTACCCAGTGCCCTTCTCCCTTGCTTTTTCTTAGAGTGGTCCCAATCTTTAAAGGTGTACTCACGTTCATGCAAACTCTCACACGCATATAAGCTCCCCTCTTTTTATCAAATAGTTTATCGTCCCAAGTGACAAATTCACCCAGATGATTCACAATCCTTCTCGCTGTTCCCAGATTATGATAACTATACGGCACATTATGAACTTGTACCCAGATCTCAAACACATCTAGCGGCACCTTAAGCGGGATATCACCGGGTTCAATAGCTTTTAACACAATCAAATTCTGATCAAACAGTCAGGGTCCACTATCCAGGACACGATTCATATCAACAGAGTGGAAAATTGTAAATAGATACCTCCTTTCACCAATCTCGTGTATCGAGATTCCTTTGCCCGGACGCCATAAATCAACCATGAAATCCCTGAAGAACGGAAATCGAACAACTTTGTCCGTGAGAATCGTCCCAACAACTACAAACTCCTCCGTCTTTGCTGCCCCGATCGCCGCTTCCCCCTCCTCTTCGTCCTCAAGCAGCATTTCGTCCTCGATTTCCCCAATGCCCAGACCTTCGTATTTGACGACGAGATTACCCACCGCTCATCCTCATGATCTCGGTCATCCCTGTGTCTCTCATCTGTTTCGTCCTACATCGCCTTACTACCACGATTAGGGGTGGGTAAAAATCACGGTCGTGATGTCCCAAACCGAAAAATCCCGATACCGTTCCGAAACTATCCCGATCCATTTAGGACGCAATTATTTCATCCCGAACCGGTCCCGCACCGATATTAACTGGGACGGAACCGGGATAGCTATAAAATATCATGTCCCGTCCCGGTGTCCCGTTTGAAATTAATATGTTATTTTAAATTTATAATGCTATGTAATAGCCAAACCCAATTAAAACTTTCTAATCCTTAGTCTCCCTGGTGTAATTTTATCTTATTTCATGACTCTTAGTCTCGTTTCTTTTGTTTCTTTTGATTAAAATTTGTTTAGTTCTCATTCCAATACTAATCCATAATATATTATTACATGCGGAATATTATTTATGATGGAATAACTACTACTCCAAATTATTGTTGTTATAGATTTATTGTTTTCCAAAATAACTACTGGAAAATATATAAATAGTGTCTTTATAGATATGATATTTAATTTAATGTGGTATTCAGAAATTACAAGTGTACTACAGAGTATAAAAATATTTTGAGCTACTATTCTACTAGAGGAAACACAAGATTAGGAGACCAAAAAAATTTACAAGACAAAAATTAAAAATAGTTAATTAAAGATTTACTTAACTTTTTAGGGAACCTAAATTTGCAAAAAATAGTTACGTATTTATTTTGATGTTATGCTTATTTTTATATCACATTTCACAAATGCATATTTTTTATGGGACATCCCAAACCGTCCCGGTTTTTCACGGGTTGTCCCGGTCCCGTTTTAAATTGGACAACATTGGGATAAAGACTTATCCCGTACCGTACCGTTATTATAAAACCGGGACTAGGGCCGGCCCAGGCAAGGTGTAGGCTGTGCAATTGCTGGTTATTGAAAAAGTGGACAATTTCCTTTACGAGAAAGATCCTCCATTGTCATAATCACATCTCTTCAACGGAATGAGCCAATGATGAGGTGTGTGAATTTGACAGACTTTCGTGAACACTGAAAACTATCGGAGAGGTGTATGTTGTAGAAAATATATAGTCAAATTACATGATAATTCAAAATTGATTGAAGTTCGATCTAAAGAATCAAGAGATATACGCGTAATTGATGAATTAGTTGAATTCTGTTTGAATTGAGATCTCTTCCAATGACTTGCAATCCAGAGTTATGTTTGGCTCATTCAGTTCCAGAGTTATGTTTGGCTCTCCTCCTAGCTATTTATGTATGCAACCTTTACTAGTGCCAAGTTTCTATTCCAATATTCTTAGAAACTCTAGGGCACGTACATGCACATATCATTTCTATTCCCACTGGAATGATCCTGAAAGTCAGTGACGATCAACTCAGCAAGACCATGTTTTGTTATTATAGAAATTAGAAATACAGCTAGTTAACAATGAAGGCGTGACTCATGAGTTCGGTTATCGTATGAATTCCCAATTTGCTCATAATGACTCTGGGAGCAGGCTCAGCTGCTCGGGACGTACCACATTAGTATTGATAGACAAACTTTGAGGCATCATTATATGCATTATATTAAAATCCAGTACACCAAACCAAATAAAAAAGAAATATTTAGTACATCAAACACATTAAAAAAATCTCAGAGCCGCATTGGTATACTCCAGTCATTAAGTACATATAATGCAGATACAAAATTGGAATCGGTAATCTTTAGGTGAAACATCAAATGCATTTGACGGCGTGATAGCAAAAATGAGGACTGTATCATGAGCTCTCCAAATCTAATATGATCTTACGACGTAATATGTCATTGGCAGCAAATCAATCACATTATTTCCATTGACCCCTAAATTTCTTCTCCAGATCCATTACCATACACAGCATAGTCTCCATTGCCAATTGTGCCACTGCATAAACCAAAGAATATGAAGCCTGTTTTAGTCATTTTTTGGTTTGTTAAAAAGGTTTCTGTCACGCCAATGCCCTTTCACAATAATGCATTTCAGATTGTACGGTTCAAAATTATCATATGAAAATTTATTGACTCCACATACAAACATAGTGATGCTACTTGAGCCAATAGAAGCCCAAGCACCACATATTTGTCATGGTTCACAAGAAATCATTTTGAGTGTTACTCAACATCATGCCTTTGAGGTTTCGAAGTTGATAACATGCTTGAGCTCAAGCCTTACGAGCCGAGCTCACCAGCCAGTCAGCCATAGCTAACTATGTCTTAAGCTTCTATCCATGAGATAAGTTGACAACTACGCCTCAATTACAAACCCAAGCTGAGCTCCTCTCATTTTTTAATTGAGTCAACATGGCTCGAACTTGGCTCGCTTTATTAATGGAACAAGTCAAGCTTGAGCCAGGCTGAATCTAGCCAGGTGCAGTTTGTAGAACACCAATCATCTCAATGGCAACAGAATGAACAAAAGCAAAGCAGACAATCTTCTTACCTCATTAAAATGTTGAATCCTTCAGGTCATTTATTTATACTCGAAACTCGGAGGGTTGGGAGCATCAAAACTCTCCAAAACATTTGTCTTGCTCCCACTGTCCAAGCTTGTCTCCTGCTTATTTTCACCACCACCAATCAACCCTCCAAACCACGACAAAGGTGAGGAGGAAGAAGATGACGAAGAAGAAGCCGGGGAGGACCCACCACCACCAATACCATCCATGCTCATAGGAAGCTGGCCGGGCAGTTGACCAGTCGGAAATCCAGCCATATTAGGAGGAAGTTGTTCATCCATCGGTGGAAGATTCTGTGGTACGCTCATCATTTTATTCAACATGATTCCAGCCCCCTCGATCAATGCAAGCAACACACCGCCAAACAAAGCTGATCTGGAAGCGGGGCCCAAACCCTGACGCATCGAGAGAAACCCACCCGTCGCCGCACCAGCAATAATGGAGTTCCACGGATCCTCTTTTGCTCGGACGTAAACCATTGTACAGTCAAAGGTGGAAAACAGTCCTCCCCATACTGCAAAACTACCGCCAACACGTGGAGCATTCATGCGGACCGCCTGTGTGGCCCCCACCAGGCGTTCGCCTTTGGGTGAATTGTATATTCCTTTCAAGAAGTGGAAGGCAGAACCTCCTACAGCACCCATACCAAATGCCCCACCAACATCGTCGAGGATACGGTCCGGGCATGGTTCACGTGACGTCTCCGGGGTACCCATTATAGCAGCAAGCAAGAACACTTAAAAGTGCCTAATAATATTGGTGGAAAAATTTCAGAGATTTTTTTCACTGCAAAGAAAACACACAGCATAAAGGTTAAGAACATAATTGGAAAAATGTATAATAAAAGTGCGCGTTATCGTAAATATACTCTAATTAAAGGACATAAGGTGCTTGTCTCGAAAAAGCGTCAATAAGTGCTGCTTCCAAAACAATTCATTACAATGTTGTTTAAAGACACTATTAAAAGCACTTCTTTCATTTTCCTTCTTAACAATTCCTGTTTACCCGATTGTAGAGCATAGCAGCCAAGCCTGAAACACTATAGCAGATGCGGGATGACCGCTACTTAGAGAACACATATGTAGAATACATAATTATATATTTGTATGTATACATATAGTTACATGACGTGCATGTACAAAATCCACCAAATGAAATATATATTACTCATAGTCTCAAACCTCATGAAATTCATACTCCGTACTTACTAAATTTTCAATAAAAAGCCACTAGTGTATTAAACAAAAGATATGAATAATCAAAGTAACTTACCTCTAAACATTAAAAATAAAACATAAGCTCATGCATAATTCTAGACAAATTAGCTGTCATCAATATTTAATCATAAGACAATCAAGGATGTTTGGATGCGTTTAACTACGCTAATGAGGTTATGTACAGTTACAATTTATCTTGCTTTCTGTATTGAACTACTACGTATTTTAGTAGGGTTATTTTTCCCACGTGTTTTGGAGGGTGTAAATACGGTAATTTTTACCTATAAAACATTCAAAAGTAAAGAATACTCCCAAATTCCTTTATAACTAGCACTGAAGAAACCCGGTATATTATATTTTGCTAGAGGCCAAGAATGTTTAACGTCATATAAAGCAAAAAATCAGAACGTAAGACTATGAAAACCATTTTCAGGATCTTGGCTCAAATTCAAGTAAAAGTTGTTTTGGAAAATCATTAAAGACTTATCACGAAGTCTGCAAATCATTTTAATGAAACTTAATGAGTTGCAAAAGTAATTGGCAAAATCTAATACGTATATAAATTATTTATACAACCTAATAATTCAAGATAACCATGACCTTTATCAAAACAACTTTTACTTGGTATAGGTCCCTCCATTGAAAACTGAAGATAGACCAGAGCTTCCTACACTACTGACTACATTATGTATTTATGTTCAGTTTATTTTATGGACCAAAGCTTCCTAAAATAATGAATTATAAGACTTGATCATATACCAAATTATCCATCTCCAAACTTCATAGATCATTTAACCTGTATAACAGGTGGTGCATCAGTACGCCACATAAATAAAAAGTATTGAACTTATGAGGATAGAGGAAATAATGAATTATAGGACTTGATCATATACCAAATTACAAATGTAATTTGTTAAGTTTCTCTTCAATCAACAAAAAAGAAGGATGCTGAAAATATAAATAATCCAGAAAAACAACAGAAGAACTAAAATTTACAAAAGGAATGAGCTGATTCCCAATAAAAATAATAATCATTCAAAAGAGGAGTATGAAAATTCAAGTACAAAAATAAGATCGAAGATACAAAGAGTTAGCCGATGAGGATCTAACCTGAAAATGTTTTCCGGAAGCTAAGTCGAACATGTAGGTTGATACGGCGGAGAAGCGCCGAATGGGTCGCTGAATTGAACGGAGAAGAAAGATGTAGAGCCGAATGAGATACTCCCCTACGGGTATTTTTTGTGGGTAGGTTTTGCATTTGGAAATGCAATTGGGCTTGGGTACACACATTATAAATTAGGGCTGGGACTTTGGAACCAAGAACCGGAGAACCGAACCGGGCCGAACCGTTATGACCCGGTTCGGTTCGGTTCCAACATTTATTAGTTATTTGTTAACGGTTCGGTTCCTATTTTTATTAACGGTTCGGTTCTCGGTTCCTGAAAAAAATATGTACTAGGAACCGTTAAGGAACCGTTATATATAATAATTAAAATTATATATATTTCTTACGAGTATATATATTTTATGTATATTTACTTATTTATTTTTATATTCCATTCATTATTTTAGTTTAGTTATTCAACTATTTAAAACTATTATTCACTTCAACCGGTTCTCTTAGGCTTCTTTAGGCCTCTCATTAGGTCCAAACTCGAGCGGGTCGGAACTCGGAAGGTCCAAACTATTTAAAATTATTATTCTCTTTAACTGGTTCAACATATTTGTTTTGTAATTTCAAACGTTGAATGTCTTTTTGACAAAAATTTAGTCGTGATTTGTAAGAATTTTTTCAAAGACTAGGAACCGTTAAATGACAAGAACCGAACCGTTAAGAACGGTTCGGTTCCTTATCGGTTCTATAAAATAATTTATAAGAACCGAACCGTTAATAAAATTTCATATTTTCAAACGGTTCCACATATTTTGCCTAGGAACCGAACCGGTCCCAGGCCTATTATAAATAGGCCCAAAAATTACTTTTTTTATCCCCTCACGTGTGATTTCTTTCCCCTCCCCTTCCCTCTATTCCCGCAGCTCCCTCCCTCTCCTCTTCGTCGTTTTTTCTTTCCCGCAGCAGAACAACTATCCAAAAAAATGGATTTTCCTGGCTTTGTGAATGAAACTATCATTGATACTACGGTGGACGATTTTTGGACTGATTGGGCTGAAACAACCGGTGGTTGTCAACGTGAAGGAGATTTTCCGGTGGAGGATGAAGGTGAGCGAGAACCGGCGGCGGCCACGGCTGAACATGACGAACAACCAGAGGCGGCAGCTGAACTTGACGGAGAACCGGCCATGGACGACGTCCCTGAGCTTGGTATGAGTTTGTGTTGTTGGTTTCATTGGCTTTGAACTTAAATACTCCCCCCGGTTTTTAATAAACTTCACACTTTCCTTTTTGGGACGGTCTAAAATGAACTTCACACTTCCTTATTTCCTTTTTTGGCAAAGAAATCTACATCAAAACAGTGTCAAACAGTGCCAAACAGTGTCAAACAGTGTCTCTACAGTGCCAAACAGTGTCAAACAGTGCCTCAACAGTGTACTCTACAGTAAAGTCAAATTTCTTTCCTTATTTTGTGTGAAGTCAAACTGTGAAGATTAAAAAAAACCGGAGGTAGTATATGTTTGTTCTTCACAGACAATTATTTGTGTTTGTGTAGTGTATATAAATTGTCTGTTACTAAATATACTTATGTCTGTGCGTAAAGTGTATAAATTCTTTGTTCAAAATGTTATAAGTTTCATTATGTCTGTGTACATTGAGTTTAAATGTCTGTGTCCATATATACTTTTGTCTGTGAGTAAATATACTTATGTCTGTGCGTAAATATACCACGGCCTCTGTGCAAGTACACTTCTGTTTGTAATGTCTGTGTCAATATACTTGCGTTTACAATGTCTGTGTTTCAATATTCCTCTGTATAGCTTCAGTGCAGCAGAAGCTTTCAGAGAACTTGATAAAATGAACATGTTTGGAAACATTCCAGACCTTCTCATCCGTCCCTACATTTCCAATGTCGTATCTATCACACCGGCCAAAAATGGAGTAGATATAGTTGGAGTGTTACTAGAGTGCTCTCATGCCGGTAGTAGATCTACTAGGTCAAAAAATCAATTGAAGCCTCAACCTTCAATGCAAATGGGATGTGGAGCAAAAATACGAGCACGCACAAATTATGCGGGACGTTGGGAAATTTCAAAAATCTGTCTTGAGCATACCCATGCCATGAGTCCAACTAAGGCTCGCCTATTCCGGTGCTATAGGACTTTGACTCCCCAAGCAATGAGGCAAGTTGCAATCAACGATGTGGCCGGAATACGACTTCATAAAACCTTCAATGCAGCCGTTGTTGAAGCCGGTGGGTATGATCAACTTCCTTTTATTGAAAAAGATTGTAGGAACTACATTGAAAAGGTAAGACAACTTAGGTTAGGGAGTGGTGATGCCATGGCACTTCAAGAGTTTTTTTCTACAATGCAAGCTTAAAGCCCCAAATTTTTCTATGTCCTTGACTTAGATGACAAGTCCCGATTGTGTAATGTGTTTGGGGCTGACAGTCGATGTAGATATGCATACAAAGACTTTGGAGATGTGATAACCTTTGACACAACCTACCTCACGAATCGGTATGACATGCCTTTTGCACCATTTGTAGGTGTAAATCACCACGGTCAATCAAGTTTGCTAGGTTGCGGATTAATCTCTAATGAAGATACGCAAACATTCGTATGGCTATTCAAAGCATGGCTTGAGTGTATGGAAGGACGTGCTCCGATGGGCATTATTACGGATCAAGACCGTGCAATGCAAAACGCCATCCAAATTGTTTTTCCAAATACAAGACACCGATGGTGCCTATGACATATTATGAAAAAGGTACCGGAAAAAATGGGAGGCATTACAAAAAAAAAAATCTTGGATGCTATTCATGAATCCATTTATGACTCACAATATATTCCACAATTTGAGCAAAGTTGAAACGACATGATACAAAGGTACCCTTTATTTCCTTAAAACTATGACCCATTCCAGAAGGTTTTTGTCTGTGAAATAAATATATGTGTTCATCACAGGCATACAAAATGTACACCACAAACACAAAAGTGTCTGTGAGAAAACATTGTATCTTTACTTCATATATATTTTTAATGTTATTTCAGGTATTCCCTACAAGATCATGAATGGCTTGTAGTGATGTACAATGAAAGACACCGGTGGGTGCCATGCTTCATAAAGACATTTTTCTGGGCGGGTATGTCTACCACTCAACGAAGTGAAAGTATCAATGCTTTTTTCGATGACTTTGTGCATTCCAAAACTAGTCTTAAGGAATTCGTTGAGCAATGCGGACGTGCATTACGAAAGAAGGTAGAAAAAGAATTTCACGCCGATGCTAGTTCGTTTGCAAAAACAATTCCTTGTGTTTCATCATTTGAAATGGAAGAACAAGTCCAAGAAATTTACACCCTAGCTAAGTTTAAGGAGTTTCAAGATGAACTTGTAAGTCTTTTGTATTGTGATCTAATACAAAGCGAAGGAGATAGAAAATTTCATGTTAAGGAGGTCCGAAAGATAAATGGGTTTCGAAAGACCATTGACTTTGTTGTTGAATATGACCCATTCACTACATTTGGAATATGTAGTTGTCATTTGTTTGAATTTAGGGGTATTGTATGTAGACACTTGATTGTGGTCTTACGTCGGCTTGGATTGGATTTCTTACCTGAGATTTACCTATTGCAAAGATGGAGGAAAGATGTTAAAAGAGCTTACACAAAGGTGAAAATAAATTATGATGGGTGGATCACAACGGTGGAACAAGAACGATTTAATAAGTTATGCAAGACTTTTGAATCACTTGCAAATATGATTGCGGATGATGAAGAGAAGTACCAAAGTGTTCTTAATTGGTTGGAGACTCAATTGTCGACATATACTCCTCCCCAAGCTCCTCGGTCTTCCATATGTGGCAACCTAACATCTATCCCACAACCGAGTAGTCGTGTGCAATGTGAGGTTCCAAAAAACATAGGAGATCCTAAGTGTGTAAAGCGCAAGGGTGCTCCGAGGAAAAACCGTCAAAAAGGACCATTGGAGAAGGGGAAAAAGAAATCGGGGGCTAGGAATGACATTGGAAGTGCCCCACAAGGTAGCGCTGACCATGGCAATGCACAGGAAGATCGTAATGACTAGACATGGCAATGGGTCGGGTCGGGGCGGGGCGGGTATTGCAAGACCCGGACCCGCCCCGTGACTTGGCGGGGTGGGTCCGCCCAGCCCCATGACTTGCACGGGTCCAAACTTGTTGACCCATGACCCGCCCCGCCGCAACCTAATTAGTTAGTTTGTATTTTTATTTGTGGGAAGTTGATACCAATTGAATCTACATAATGTTTATATTTAAATAATAATTAAAAATCAATATATTAAATCAAATTCATGATACGCTAAAAATTTCAAAAATTAAGGAAAAATTAAGGAAAATTTGAAGGATGCTTAATTCCTATAAATGGAAATAGCATTCAGTAAGGGTACAAGATAATAAAAGAACCACAAGTAATCATCCGCCCGTGGCCGAGACTGAGAGTTAACCACCTGTAGAAAAGCAGTATAACTCGCTAGACCGAGATTGGGCAACTTAAAGCCAATGACGATTACCGTAGAGCTTTCAAAACCCAAACCTAATGCAAGAGTCTTACAGCATAAAATAAAATAACAACAAAACACAAACATCTTAACTTGGAAATTAAAATGCATAAAAGATAAGTAAACAAACTCCAAAATGCGTCGATTAACCCTTGGCGGTGGTTCTGGGGGGGACCCTCATAGCGATTGTTGTTGCACCAAAGCGGTTTTCCTCCGACTCGATCGCCTCTACTTCATCATTGTTGTTGCACCAAAGCGATTTCCCTGGGTGCCAAACAGATGCCATCAAATCTTGGAACCCCGGAAGGCTGATCTTCCAGACCGTAATCACGACATCGACTTCTCCTGACATGGAGATCCCCTCCCTTCATTCGTCCCCTGCGTCTTCCTGTTTGGCCAAACCCAAGCCACGACCAAGCCCTTCCAACGAAGCCCAGACCATTGCCATCGTTCACCTTCACCACAACCTAAGCACCGTTCTTCGTTAATAAACGAAAACGGGAAACGAACCCCAGCAGTGAAAAGCCCTAGGGAAGAAACGAGACCCCAGCGACGGAAAGCCCTAGGGAAGAAAAATCGGCAACTCGTGCGTACTCCGACACAG